CACTCCCGCACAAACAGAGCCAGCTACTTCCTGGTTCAGGACCTCTCGCTCGTCTCTCCTCTTATCTGGTCAGAGGAAGGGGAGTGCAATGGGGAGGGGACTGATGGCAAACACAGTCACTGCCTAACCAGCAGGAAGGGAAGGTACAGTCAGGAGGGAGCTGATGGGCATTACAGTCCCTATTTTGCAGATACATCACACTACGGAGTAAGATCAAAAGCAGGCCTTATGTATTTAGGTTCACTGATTCTGAGCTTTAATTTAAGGTTGGTTTGTTTCTTCCTGTAGTTGTTAACCGAGCTCATATTGCCCCACAGCCTCATTTCCAGCCGACTTGGGCTTGGCACAAAGCCTGAGGGTGGGGAGGGTCAAAAGTGGTTTAAAGAGCTGGTGCACTAAAAATAGCAGTGTGAACATAACATAGGGTGGCCACTCATGCCTTCCTGGAATACCAGACATTCTAGCACATCCAGGAATGGCGTGGGTCTGCCCCTGCTAGTATGATCCCCACCCATGCTGGTCTGACTGCAGATGCATGCAGTGGACAGGGATGCTCAGGGGCCGCCCCAAGCATGGCAGTCAGGCAGCTTTCAGCGGCATGCCTGTGGGAGGTCCACCGGTCCCGCAGCTTCGGCGTACCCGCCGCCGAATTGCTGCCGAAGCCGCGGGACCGGTGGACTTCCCGCAGGCATACTGCCGAAGGCTCCCTGACTGCCGCCCCTATAGCGACCGGCAGGCCGACCCCCGCGGCTTGCCACCCCAGGCACGCGCTTGGTGCCCTGGTGCCTGCAGCCGCCCCTGGGGATGCTGGGGGTGCTGAGAGTCACTGAACCAAACTGTAAACCATGTATATAGTGGAAACCACTTCAAGCCAGGGGGTGTGGTAGCACCTCCAGCACTTCTAGTTCCAGCCCCTATGACAGTGGGCACCATCTTTAAGACAGCACTGAGCCTCCCCCTCACTCCCCTCCCCGGCATGATTTTTGTGTGTGCGGTCACGCTGGTAGGGGATGGGGAAGCCGCCTGGTGCACTCTTCAAAAGGGCTCTCCCATGCAATACCGTACAAAACCACATCTGGTTTTGTCTGAGTACTAGACAGGGGAGAAACCCTAAAATGGGCAGCAGCTGAGACTCCCCAAGTCCAAGCCTGCCCAACCCCCTCCCCCAGCTCACCTTTTAAGAAGCAAGCTCAGGCAGCTAGCCTGAGCCACCCATCTACACTGCTACTTTTAGTGCACTGCCTTGAGCAGAGCTAGCTCAAGGGGGACTCTTACCTTGCAGCTGCACAGACATATCTCTAGTGAGCCTTTACACAGGCAGGGATCAATGGAGCATCTGGCCCCAAAGTTAGCTGTAGCTTATGAAGTCTTTGCCCAGCGTTACACCATTAGAACATGTGACAGGAAAGCAATCCACTGTGTCACATGTTTAAATGCAATAGATCATATAGTCAGCTTGTACAAAATAGAAGTTCTTCAACTTTCTTTGCTGGTGATCTCACCTGTCAAGGCCAAATAGCCTGAATCAAACCAAGCCCTCCTCATCCCGAGAAATTTCCAATGAAAATTACCATTGACTCCATTTACTGATCAGAATTCTCTCCCCCGGCCCTCCAACAGCAAGCATGCAGGGAAACGTGTAGGGCAATAACAAAAACATGCTGAGGCAAAAGTTTGCGGCTGTTTGGTCTCGTCTATCGCTGCACCTGAATTTCTGGCACCCGCAGACTACGCCCCCACCAATGTTTCAGATGAGTATAACATAATTCCCAGGTCGACATCCACGTGAGAGATTTGTAGGCAACACATTATTGTCCGGTAGGTGGGATTCATGACACTGCTAGGAGCTTTCACTATTTCCCCCCCCCCTCTCTCCCTGGAGCAGAGACTTTGTAGCCAGTTGATTAGAGTTCTGTGAATTTTCTTATTTGGGACAAGGAGTTTTCTAAGGTTAGAAGATAAAACCGAGGCCCAGAAAAATCTGAAAAAGGTTGCAAAAGGACTCAGACCCAGAGCCACAAAGGGACTTAGGCACTTTGAAAATCATAGGAACAGCATTGCAATTTACAAAACCTGAGTTAGGCTCCCTGGACGATGAATGGGGAGAGATAGGTGCCTAAGCATGTGATCCACATCCTACTATGCTAGGCGGGGAGCTACTGAGACAATCCATTGTGGATTTGGTAGTCCTGGTACTGTAGTTAATAGGGTGCATGGTGTTAGGCGAGCCCTCATTTAAATAAGGTCTCATGGGCCACTTGATATCCTTAAAAAAGAAACCCTTGGCCTTTAGATTAAGGTCAAAGGTGGTGGTGGTGATTTTAAAGACAAAAAACATGGGCTAGATCATAAATTATATAGCTTGACTGGTCTGGCTGTCAGTGAATTTAAACATCTTGCAGATTCAGAAGTAAAACATTTGTGAATGTTAACATCTGCTCACAGACACTCTCCTGTAGTAGAGTATCGCTGCTTTAGGAGGTGGGCTAAAATAAATTCTGTAAGCCTGGGATGGGCTGTAATTAATCTGTCCTTGAGTGTTGCTGGATGCACCTGTTGAACTATGAATGAGTCTTTGACCACGAGGCATGATTATAAACAGGAATGCGTACAGAAGCTCTGAGGGCTCAGAGCAGCACATATTTTATGATTAAGGTGGGAGTGAGGAAATGCAGGTTAATGTGCTAGAAGGCAGGGACTGATATACAGAGTAGGAATGTGTGGGATGCTTGGGGCAATAATTGGAGAGAGACTGGTGGGGGTTAGCTTCAGGGGCTGGAATGTGTTTTCCCTTGTGTTGGGACAGTGCCTAGCACATTGTAGACACGACTAGCATACAAATACATAATTAAAGAGCTGAGCATTGGTATAAATTGCATCATCTCTGCTGATCTTCTAACTTGTACATTTTGAAACTCTGCAAGGGATAAGCCCGTATGTAACTGCTCAGCACCGTATTCCTTGTAGGTAAATATTTCACTGTTGATAGTGAATCTTATTCTTTCTTGCTATGCCCCATGACTTTGCAAACAGCCAAAGAACTGTTTTGTGTCTTCATTGTAAATTGCTGCTAAATCCTTGACCAATGCCATTATTCTTTCTCCCAAGCAAACAGCAACCTAATGAATGGTTCTGTAAAATTGCTTTATAAATTGTTAATGAACTCCAAAGTCAAGCTATTATCACATTTCTACTCCAGAGAGTGACTACTATCAATGCGAACACTCTTCCTGATGCTTTAAGCGTTTAGCATTAATTACACTTTACAATGAGATCTATTTTCATTTTTGCTCTCTGAGCATTTGTTATATCCTTCCTCTGTAAAGTTTGTTTAGTCTTTTTTTCTTTTGCCCCAGCATCACCTTCTGCTGCCAGAAGACCCTCAGATCAGCCTTTCCCACTGCTAAAGTGGTCAGTGATCTGTAATGACCTTTATTATAACTTTCTACAACAGACTTATGCAAGCTTCTTTCCCATTTCTGACAAGTTCACTAACTGCCCTTCAGTCCAGTCGGGATAATGAATGCACGGAGAAGCACAGAGACACACATAGCATTTGGAAACCATGCCAACAGCAACCTTGAACTGCTAGAGTCCTATTATTGTTGTAAAATATACCAGAAAAGAAGGGGAACCGCCTCCTACCCCCCATTAAAACCCATTTATAGGAAACATATATAAAAAGCTTGGTATTTTTCATAAGATCACTCTCTGGAGGGGATTTCTGGAAACTCTCCATTATATAACAGTGATTCCCTGTTGACTCTCACCACTCTCCTTCTTCAGGGATTTCACGTTTAAGCAGACTCATTGCAAACAGGACGTTTATTTGTTTGGGGTTGATAGTGAGCTTTGGGTAGTCTTAGCATTTCTCTCTCCAGGCCCTAAATAGTTATTACAGACTGGAGACATGTTTAAATGGGTAAAAGAGACCTATAAAAAACTGTTTCATTAACAATCTTTATTTTTTTTCTATCTTGGATTGCTTTCAGCTACATAGACTAAGTAGTTTATTTTTTTAAGAAGCCTATACATCTCCATGGGACATCTAAGGAATACCATTGCTGATAAGAACCCTCATAAATGTCTGGGGGGGGTTGTTTATATTTCATGTCCATATGAGAGTCGTCCTTTCTCAAAGCAATTTCAGGATGCTATCAAGATAGTATACAGAGTTACTGGCTCCCTGGTCACAGCACAGCCTTAACAAAAGTCTATTGAAAAATCTTGTATTTCCAGTTTACAACAAAATGTTTCTTTTATGGTACAAAAATGAATCTAGGAAAACCAGCTAAAATTACTTCTGTAAATTGAAACCTTTCTGAGAAAGCACAGAACATACAATGTCTTCTGAGCAAAGAGATGTAAACTGTGTGCATCAGCTTCACATGAAGTTTAAGGCTGAATTAGTTCTTTAGTTGTCTGAAGTTTTTGCAATTGAATCAGAGCTCATAATGATATAAATCGGGAGTCACTACATGAAAGCAACAGAAAGGTATACTGGGGTTAAACTGGTGAGAGAGAAGAATTAGGCCCTTTGTTTAGAAAATTACAATTTATCAAGAAAGCAGGAAATAGCTACACAACAATTACAAATTAGACTAATTTTAGGCTTGGCAGAATTCAATTTTCTTTATAATTTCAATGGATAAGATCAATGTTTATTTTAAAGAATTTTTCCCCATTTTTACCAATTTAAATTTTCACAGTTGTGGGAAATTGAAGCAGGTTCAGGTATTGAAGGATCTGACAACAATTATTTGATGACAGTAGATGTTGAGATTCAAAAAGTTAAAACTTTATAAACACTAAAACACAACTTGTCACCATTGCATGTCAAAATATACCAAGTAAATATCCTTAAAAAAAACTCTAATAAGTTCTCAAGCAGCATTTTTCTTACTGTGGTATCTATAAATTTCTGTTATCGATGGAAATATTTTTTTCATTGGTTTGTGTGTGTGCAGAGAAATTGATGTTTACTGACATTTACTATTAAAAAATCTAATCCTTCCAAGCCTATTTTAAACGATCTCATATTCACTTTTTATTATATGCTGAATTTTAATGAACATCAACAGCAGTAAGAACACAAGCTACTCACTGCTTAATATGGGATTGTTGGAAACCTGGCATGATTGCAGTTCCTCCTAAACCTACAAATAACAAAATCACCTGCGAGGAATAACTGACAGTCTACATCCTTCTACTATTTTCATGAGAAGGAAGATTACTGAATTTAATGGAATATAAACATATCCTGGAACACTTACGTCCCAATCCTGCTGGTACTCTGTGCATGGAACTACCATGGACTTCTCTTAGCGAGTGCCAGAGGATAAATATATAGGATCCAATCCAGAGCTCCCACTGAAATCAATGAAAAGATTCACATTAGGTTTAGTGGGAAATGGATCAGACCCATGGGCACTTCTTTCTGTGGGAGCAATGAATTTAGTTCTTGTCTTCAAAGGTTCTTCTTTTGCTAATGTGACCTAAAAGAAGCTAACGAAGGACAAAAGAAAGTTTGCAATTATTTTCTAAGAGGAGGAGGAGGGGTAGAAAACCTAGTGGAAGAGCTGGAATTATCAAAACAATTTAAAATACATACTGATTATCAGACAAATAGGTCAACTTTTATATTTAAAACCTCATTTATTTACACAATGTACAATATTTACAACATTTAAAAATCAGATATTTAAAAAGAAGATATATTGTTCAGAACCTAAAAATAAATATGTAGCATCTCAACATTTATATGCTATTAAAATATCATACTACATCCACAGACTGGCTGGTGCACTAAGAGTTTGGGGCAAAGAGGAGAATTATGCACAGATTCTCCGTAAACATTGTTTTCAGAGAATTTTTTTTTAAACTATTATAAATACAGCTATTTCCCACACTGTACATTCCCAGTAACTTTAACTTATTTGTTGACCAAACCCCATGTATCTATATAGAACAGAACTGGTAGCAACTTCGTTCCAACTTCTCCTTTTACGGACAAGACTGGATCCTTGCACACCTGCAATGCACTGATGGGGATGAGGTTAGAGGAGATGGAGCTGCAAAGTAGAAGAAGCCTGAATCATTCTATCTATGCAATGATGAAACCATCAGAATAGCTTGGGTTGCTGCTGGAGAACATGATTAGCAGTGGCTGTACCTGTTGCTTTGGAAAGGTGAGTATGTGCCTTGACACAGCTTTGTACTTGTTACGGCTGGAGAGCATTACTGAGTTCACAAGCCATGTCTCAGTCTAGTACTCCCTTGATATGAGGTCTGCATAGTGGCTCCCAGGGCTTTCTTGCCTGTGAGTGCATCTACACAGACACACCCAGAATTTAGCCATATGTCATTTAACTGTACAAACGGTAGGTACAAAACCTTTTTTTCAATGCTATTACTATTAATAAAATATAATCCCTCCCTAGTAAAAAGGATAGCCACAGCATAGTCAAGATGGTTCGACTCATCTAGCTCATCAAAATGTTACGTTTGGTGAGGCTTCAGCAGTAACCTAAAAATATCACCCAGTTAACCAAGAATCGAAAATGTAAATTCTACAGGAAAAGTATTAAATACACCTCTACCCCGATATAACGCGACCTGATATAACATGAATTCAGATATAACGTAGTAAAGCAGCGCTACGGGGGGGCAGGGCTGCGCACTCCATCGGATCAAAGCAAGTTCGATATAGCGCGGTTTCACCTATAACGCAGTAAGATTTTTTTGCTCCCGAGGACATCGGGGTAGAGGCGTATAGAGATACGGCTTACGTATAGAGAGACTACTCTTGCAATCTCAGTGGCTGACCTATGCAGCTCTAATGCCAATGGGAGTTGAGGGTGCAGAGCAGCTCACAGGATTGGGCTTTAATAACCTAAGAAAGTCTACTCAAGAGGGGACCAAACTTTGTGCAATTGAGGGCCACACCATTAACTCGCCAGGAGCCCAAAGGGCAGGCCTCCCTTGCATAAAACTAGCAGATTGCAACCACCCTTGTAATTAATAACAGGGATGGTTGAGCTGGTCACTCAAATTAGAGATCCACATATTTTACTGCAATGCCATAAACATGATGCAACTGGATGAAAACACCGAAATTCAATGGCTTTTGACCAAGAACATGACCATTTGTGAATGAAAATGGGCCAACTTTCACTCAGTTTTATTTGGAAGTAAAATTCAACTTCAAAAAAAAAAGGGGTAAAGCTCAATTTTCACACTGAAATGTGTAAAAATACCTGAATTTTCACACAAGTGAAAGTTCTCCAATCCCTCAAAAATGTGTGGGGCATGGGTGGGAGGGTTCAGATGAATTGTGTCGTTTTGCAATTTTCCCATCACAAAATCTTTCACACAATCCTAAATAGTACAGCTGTGTAGCCCAAAAGAAGCCATTGGCCATTACAACTAAGACAAGAGCATTGCTTACCGGCATCAACAGTGTCTAGAGATTATTGATATTTTGAAGAAACTCTACCGGATTAGTGTTTGTGGATAATTTTTATGCCATTCAGAAGGCAATTTCTTATCGAAGATTTTTTACAGAGCACTTGGATTCCAGCAATATTTCCTTCCTTTTTATAATACATTTCATCACATAAGCCTCAGAGCATAAACCTGTATTGTAATTTGATAAAGTGCAAGTTATCAGTTGATTCTTGCTAACCAAAAATAGCTCAAAAACACTTAAATGTATAGTTACACATTGTACAGTCTATCAAAGTTCCACCTACTTTTTTGTTTAGTTTTAAGTTAAACCAGTGAGGGAAACTTTAATTTACTACTGACCTTGTAAAGCAAGTTAATCTTTTTTCAACACTGGTGCAAAATATTATAAATGATCATAGTATATATTACAGTTTTACCCAATCTTAAACCAACTATCCTATTAGGGTAAATTGTTCTTAAGAATGTTTTTTTAAAAAAAACAACAACAATACATTAGATTCTAATCATACCATACAAAAATAAATATTGTATAAATGATTTACAAGTGACATACACAACAGTTGGTGGCAAAAATATAGCCAAGACTAGTAAAAGTTTCACCCTATATGCCGGGAGTGAACATTAGAAATAAATGACGTTTTCTTAGTCTTTCTTTGTCAGAGTATAATCATGCACTGCAGTGTGTTTCTTGCCATGTGGCTATTCAAATAGCAGTTTTATACATTTTGAGATATACTTTTAAATGCAAAACCTCAGGCATAGTCCTGCGGTTGTTTGGTATGTATAATTCTCACTGAAGTGAACAGGAATTTGGAGAGTGGGAACATTGCTGGATCAGTTCTTAATTTAGTAGTAATTTAGTTCCAAGTTATAAAAGAAAAAACGGTCTACAATGGTAGTTAAAAATAGTCATAAAAGTTGATTTTAGTCAAGCTATATCTTACTCTCACTCTTAAAGTCCATACCCCAGTGACATCACTGGGACTTGCATGCATGGACTCAAGCCAGAATATGTCTATGTGGTTGTTCCAAAACACAGTGAGTTCAATGGGACTTCTTATGTGCTTAAAGGTAAGCATGCGCTTAAGTGCTTTGTTAAATTAGAGCTAGTGTTAAGCACCTTGAAGGACTGGGCACCTAGCTGTAAAAAGAAATAAAATTGTGAAGCACTATTTGCTGTGCTGCCTTGTCATGCACCATCATATTCCACAGGAGGCTTTTAAATAGCTTTTAATATACATTTTCCTCTCTTAGACTAAAACTGGTTGGTTGTATTTTAGCCCATGCTTCAATCAATAGAGCTTAAAAAACTAAGGTCTTTAAAATATCTCAGGCTTGACTTACAAAATGGAGGTGTGATGTCATTCTTTACAGAATGGATGAGTATTTACAACAGGTAACAACACCATGCTCAGCACCACATCCAAACATTTTAAAAGTCAGATGTGAAGGTTTCTTTTTCCTCTCTGGGTTCTCATGAAGAAAAAAAAACCATCTTCACTGTTGATGGATTACTTTAGAGAAGGCATCTGTGAACAGCTGAAGCTTGTTCACAATCTTCTATTGGACCCAGTTCTCCTCTAATGTTACTTTTATACTGGTGTAACTCCATTGACAGCAACTCATTGGAGTTACTCCTGATTTACATCACTGAGAGAGAAGCAGCAGATCCATTGAACTTTGTGGTGTGCAAAAAAAATGACAGGGCAGGCATATAGAGCTGAGGTTAGCTACTGTGTGGTTTCCAAACAAATCAGGAAGGTGCCAAAGATTGATATGATAATCAAATTATTCTGTTGGAATCAGTAAATAAATACTCCTTCATGAGAGAGCTTCAAATAATCAAATTATATGATTCTATAGCTGCATAATATATTTTTAACAAATATTACCACTTCACAGAGAGAAGACAAATTTCAAGAATATTCTATGTACCCGTGTATATGGGTGACCCACTAGCATTGAAAATATTTCAAATGTGTTTCTACTCAAAATATTAAGTGAAAACAATTGGATTATTCTCCCCTTCAGGAGAATATACTTCAGGAACATTTAGGTGCAATACTAACCAAAATTAACAAACAAAAATCAAGAAGAAATCAAAAATTTTGGGAATGTTGTTGAAATACTAAGATTGTGAACATATATTAAGATAAGGTCATACATTGATACTAAGGTTTTCATCCAGTTAAGCTTTTCCAACTATACAAATGGCACCTTATGACATCGCTATGAAGTAAATACCAACAGGAGACATGACGTTATTATTGATATATGTTGGGAAAGTCTTTTTGTCTGATTTATAGGGGATGTCGTTGCAAATATTGCATCAGTTGCGTTTCTGGGTAATGGCAAGTTGCAGATATTTCCTTCACAGCAGGAAGTGCAGATCTGAAAGAAATAAAACTGTTCAGTAACCAGAGTTATTCCACTTTTGAAGATACCTCAGTACCTCAGACTAATGAGTGGATTTATCATGATGTTTGCAAACTATCACATTGGTCATTCTGCTTGTATGTTATATCCCTGCCCCCAACTCTTTGTCTGTCTATTTCCATTGTAAGCTCTTAGGTGTGGGGACTGTCTCTTATTCTATAATTGTACACTGCCTGGCACAATGGTGTCCCAATCTCTGTGGGGTTTCCTAGGGACTACTGCAATACAAATAACAACAGTATGGTTACAGTCACTCCTCCTTATTCTAGAGAGGCCTGGAGACACTGAATTTGTCTTGGATAGTATTAAGGTGTTCAGAATAGCAATTTGGGGCTTTGGCACAGGGTCAGGTGGTCATGAGAATTGTCTAGGACAGATGCGTGGCCTGGACAAGTGAGGTCTGCCATAGGGAGGGCTGTAGCATTCAGTTTAAAACAAATATATTTTTTTCAGAGCAAGCCATTTAAAAAATAATACCCCTGTTTTGGCTGTAAGTCTACAGCAGAGTCCATGCAATATGTAGCATAACTTTCAGAAATTAATCACGTATTTATCTAGGCTTTTCTAGGTGCCCATCACCTGATATCTAGGCTAATGTAATACTGGAGAATTAAATACACCAAGATACATGTTCTATGTATACAGTCTATTGTGAATAAATACTATTCAAAGGCCTGAATTCTCAGTTACATTAAGACCCCTTTACACCATTCTGGCAGCGTAAAGAAGACTTATAAGGTGTGTAAAGTAAATTCAGCTTCAATGGGACTGCTCCCAATCCCATTTATAAAGTTTATCTTGCGCTTTTGTCTTGCAGGATCAGAGCCATAGTCTGTCTTGGAGTTTAATTACCCGGGCAATTTACTTCAGTTATTAAGAGTTCAATGGCCGAGAGAATTAAGTTCAGTTCCACAACAGTTAGTGATAAAAGATTTTAAATGTTACCAACCGGTCACATTTAAGAACAACATTCAGAAATATTTACGAAGCATGTTGGACACCACGCATCTTAACTGGCCTGAATGCTGGAAGTGTAGATGGGAAAGGATACATTTTAAGGCATATCACTCAGTCATGTCCTAGAATTACTGAATGCTAGCATAGGATAAAAGATAGAAATGAGTATATGGGATTTTTAACTATCCTGCAAGACCCACATGATGAGTGTGTCCTAGTGGAAACACCACAACATTTCAAGGGGTGTTGATTCCTGTCCAGTATCCCTTGTTAAAAAAATGGAGCATAAAGTTGGTGCCAGTGACTGACACATAGCCAAATATAGCAGACATCACTGCAAATGAACATTTCAGACAAGATTGTGCTGTGGTCCCATATGACTATGCAGGGACATGTAGGATTTGTCAGGAACTTGGGTCTTGGCTCAGGGGACAGAGGAGTGGCATGCCACCAAGAGCAAGTGAGTCGGGTTTGGGGGAGGCGAACGGAGTGGCTTCACCTCACTTTCAGGCATCAACCACTGAGCTGGCCAGGCACCAGGTAAAAGTAAGTTGCACCCTTTTCAAGACTATAGTAAGTTACTTCTCCTCGCAGAGGGAGCAGAGAATTCCTTCCTGGGGCTACTGCATGATGTATCAATATTTAATGTCATTTGGGAAAACTTATCCAGTCAACATTAACGTTCTCATTTCCCCCCCTCTTTGGGGGCTGGAGGGGTGGTTTCTTGGTCACCAGCCCATGTCAGCATGGTTCCTGCAGAAATTGTAGTGACATGGGCTAAAAGAGAGGTGGGAGGCCAGGAACAGGTCAGGAAGAACATGGCCTCCACACAGATGACAGAGGCCCCTGCGAATAGTGGGGGAGCCACTGGTTTGCCCCTGCTTCTTTTGTCCCTCACCCTCAAGTGATAATGTGTAGGAGAACTTCACAGAGTTTCATGTGGCCAGGAAGGAGGGAATGCTATGGCCCTAAATTGCTAGAATACCACAGGGAACAGAGCCTGGTTACTCATAGGAATATCCTACTGGACCCTACTTTTGAAATGTGTCCGGAGTTTGAAATCTTGACTTATTTTTCAGTAAAACAGCTTTTTTAAAATAACCCATTCCTGATAAAATTAGAAGATCCAGCGCAGGTATGGAATGTCTACTCCGAGTATTTTATCCAGCGTAGGATAAATAAGTCACCGCATGACTACTGACTGGCGGGTGCCCTTATTTACTATGCCCTACATTGGTGGGGCTACAAAAACACTTCGCAGGACAATGTCCCCACTCATTAGAAAGAACTGGGCTGAGAAAAGCAGGAAGTATAATAGTATAAGCAAAATTTTATTCAATTTCATTAAAATGGTTCTCTTTCCTACGGTACCAGTGGATCTTTAACATACCATCAAAAATGTCTAGCCATGTTCCTGTCTTTCGTCTTGTAGACCCATTATTTTAATTCCTCAAGGAGGGTGGGATGATGTTACTTTTTCCTGTGTTTATGTTTTTGCACCTTTCAATCTGTGTATATACATACTGGCCCAAATCCTTCCTTAGTTATTACCAATTTTTATTCAGGCAAGGTTTCCTTTGCCTGAGAAAAGGGAGTTTTGTCACTGGGAAAAACTTGAGTAAGGACTTCAGGATTTGCTCCTGTATTTGTAAGGGCAATGTTTATAGATTTTACTTAGATCTGCAGAATTCATGCAAATTATATGCTCCCATTATTTAACACGGATCAAATTCACTTAAATCACTAACACCAGTGGGAGCCTGAGTTAGCCCATAATCTTCTTTACCTCATGCTTAAAAGGCTCGCTTCCCTTTTTTCTATGAAACAAAGCAACATGAATGTAGCAAAGGACTGATCAAAAATAGAGACATTACAATTTTGGTGATATTGTTCCATCTGTTGTATGTGTCAGACTTCTGGCTAAGAGCAGAAGATTTCTGCAGTTTGTACCAAAGCAGATAGTTTTTGCCCCTAACCTTGTGGCCTTCGTGTTTTGAATCTATGCATCCAGTAGACAAACAGTCCTCCAGTGTCACACAGCGCTTAGTGACAGATATACTTTCTCCACTGGCTTCCAATGTGTGTTGAGTGTAACAGTATCTTGTCCCTAAGAAGAGAAAGAAAAGCATTTTTGGTTCTGGACAAATTCTATTTATAATTCATACTTCACAGAGCTGCTGTGCTCACATTCTGGAAATATGGATGCAATCACTAAGTAAAGAAAGTCATGGCAAACACAAAAAATGGAAGAAATATACCGAATTCCTATCCTAGATCAAACTGTAAATATGTACACACTAGTGCTGTAAGCTCTTATACAGCGCCTCAGATCTCAAACATCTCTGAAGATTAGCTTTGGAAGAGACCTCAGGAGGTCATCTAGTCATATCTAGATATGGATCCAAATATCATGGGTGAACTAAAGAGACCTCCAAACTCTGAACATCCCAATATGGATCCAGGTCTAAAAATCAATACCTCAGGACCATCCCTAGTTTATAGCACTGCTAGCTTAAAAAAAACTGTTAAATTCACACCAATTGCAGGAATTCGCCATACACGTTTTGTCCCTAAAGCTGACCTTTCATGCCCCTTAACATCAATTTATGTGGGTTTAAAGATTCTCTTCCACTAACTTCATGTACATGCTTTCCTTCCTCATGATTGAGATCACTGCAAATTTGAGTCATCCTTCCCATAGTCTAGACAGTGGACTGAATAGGTGGTCAGGAATACCAGTCTTCTAATCCTGGCTCTGCCACTGGCTAGCTGTGTACTCCAGGGCAAGTCACTTAGCATCTCTATATTTCAGTTTCTGCAGCTATAAAATGGTGATTAATGCACTTCCCTACCATGCAGGGCACTTATGAGGATTAACTAGCTCTATGTTTCCCAAACTGTAATGAAGCCAATGACACCCTCCACTATTCCCACCGGGAATGCGCTGAAAATCTAAACCATTGTGTGAGTGATTAAAACAAAAATCATAATTGTCTTCATCTACAAAGGGAACAGAAAGGCATTGGACTCTGATTTCCTATTTCTGTAAGATGATATAAACATAGGAAACATTTTTTCTCATTTTTATGTCCTGCTTGGTAGGTAGTGATGAACATCCTGCCTGCTTTCATGGGAAAAAAATGTGTAATTAAATTAAAGTGGATGTTCTTGTGCAGCTGTTATCTTTAACTGGAAGAGAGTCTCACAAACTCTTCACTTTTTAGGCATTCATCAACTACAAAGAGAAGGATTATTGAACTAATGTGTTATTAGTTAGCATGGGCAATAAAAATACCAGATGTTTGTCATAAGTTTGGCCAGCTCTGAACTTCAGTGGTGATACCCATGACAAACAGACTGGAGCATTTCAGATCTCTGAGGATGATCTAACAGGCTGCCTTTGCTTAAATCTACAGTCACTACAAACACAAGACTTTTAATATATTTTAATATATATTCTACTCAGAGGTCAGAGCCTAATTTTATCAGATGCTGAGTGCTCTCTACTCCCACTGATGGGAGTGATGGGACTTGAAAACACTCAGGCCCAGATCCTCAAAGATATTTAGGCACCTAAATCTTATTGAAATCAATGGGAGTTAGGTGCCATTTAATACCTTTAAGGATCTGGGACTCAGCACCTCATAGGATTGGGCCTCTAGAGTAAAATCCATTCCCAGTAAAGCAACAGAACAAGGCCTAGGCATGTACCACTTAAGTCTCACATAAACCTTATCTGTGGCATAGAGCCTGTGCTGCCTCTCTGCACAGGGGTGAAGTTTAGCCTTTATACATATCAGCTGAAACCCATTTACAATTCCATGTTTCTAGAAGACACCACAGTATAATGCACCCAATGGCTCTCTTTAATGGGGGTTTTGTTGTGATTAACAGACTTACTTTGGGCTGAAAAAGTTCAATAAGGGACAATATTTTACATCTTTTGTTGGAAAATATTCTAGGCAATAACCAGTGAGATATGTGCATTTTTGTGTTATGTGAGACCTACTCTTCCTCTCTTTCATAAATACTTCTTAGGTCATGAGCACCTCCTGCAAGGTGAGGATCACCCTGAAATCCTGTTGAAGTCCATTGGAATTCAGGGGCTCTGCAGCCTACAGAATCGACTCCTTAGGGAGCAACAAACTGTGTTTAAGTATTACTGAGGGCCAGATCCTCTGAGGTATATAGGCACCTAACACCTACTAAAATCAATGGCAATTAGGTACCTACATTCCTTTGAGGATCTGGACCAGAGTGCCTGGGTGACAACTGAGAACACTTGGCACTTCACAAGACATGCTCAGTACCTTGCAAGATTGAGCTCTTACAGAGAACCATTGCAATGCTTGCATTTACCAGCTTCCATCTACATGCATCAGTGAAGATGCTCTTAACATCCCAAATAAAAGTCTTTTTTCGCTAGATTCAAGATACATGCATATAAAAACACTCTCAAGGGACTGAAGTAAAGTAATGTTCTTTGTGCATTCTAGCCTTTTGTTATATATTGCCTGTTTTCCCAGTGCAGGGTAAGTGCAGTGATCACAGCTGATAAGATGAAGGCATATCTTGGGTTTATATAGAGGACAAGAGGCAGCCCAGAGCAAAGATGAGTGTAAAAGTGAAATAGATAAATCTACATTACAGTTAATACCTTGGGGAGGTGAGAGCTTTGGTATGCTGAAGCTGATGGAGTCACAGGTAAGCAAATGGGCTGATGGGCCTGCCCACTACATAAAGTTAAGCCAAAGAATTGAAGAATACATAATGGAATCAATGTCCTTTATCTGTGCATCATCTCTTGGGCACTAAGGTGTCCAAGGCCATGCAGGAACTGTGACACAATCAAGAACAGAACACAGTTCTCCTGTTTCCCAGATACTTGTCTTAATTATAAGATCATCTCGTATCAGGTTAAATGTAACCCAAATTTTAAGTTGTGCAAAAAAATGAATTAATAAAAAAAAATGATATATGATTTATCATTTGAAAATGTCTCTTTAAATGCAGCTTCAGTTATTAAAGGTGGAGCTCGTAGTGCCACTTATAGTTAAGGTTGCCCAACACTTTCCATTATAAGACCCCGTTTTCAGTGACTTATAATTTTGGCTACTTAAACAGTTCAGGCTAAAATTTCCCAGGCTGGATGTCTGCCTCAGAAAGTTAATTTTTTTTTTTTTAAGTTTCAACAAAAATGGTTCTGCCATTTCAGATCATTAAGAATAGGGAAAAATCTGTTGTTTTGTCCATGTTAAGAGAAATTCTTTCAATCATTCTGTCGGCAAGCTCTGGCACCTCCATGCTGTGCCATTTGCCATCACCATGAAAATTCACCTAAATTTGATCAAGTTATAGCCTCTGCAAAATCTCAGTTTGCTCATGGTCAGTAGACACTTGTTAGAATTTGGTAGCAAGTTCTCCAAAGACTCCATCTCCACTGAGCATGCTCAAACCCCTCACAGCTCCTAGGAGCAACTGGACTGCACATGTCTATCCCCACAGAGTGACTGAGCATCTTGGAGCCTCAAGTGCTGAACAAGCATTTCCTTCCAATTGCTCCTCCCAGCTGCTGAGAGCAGCTGTGGTGTTGGACACAGGGAAGCTGGCTTGGGAGAGAGGGACCGGACCTAAGTGGAGATGGGCTAGGAGATGAGGGGGCAGAGGCTGGAATGTGGTGGGGGAGGGGGACAAGAGCCAGAGTGCATGGGAGTTGAACAAGCATAGAAGTGAAGGGGGCAGGAGGTGGGGCACTGGAGGGGTGGTGTTGGATGGGAGCAGAAGAGGGAGCAGGAGCTGGGGCTTGTGTCTGTTAGGTCTGGTCTATACTACCCGCCTAAATCGGCGGGTAGAAATCAACCTCTCGACAATCGATCCCCGAATCGGCGCTCTAACTCCACCAGCGGAGGTGGTAGTAAGCGCCGCCGACAAAAAGCGGCAGAAGTCGATTTTGCTGCCGTCCTCACAACGGGGTAAGTCGGCTGCAATACGTCGAATTCAGCTACGCTATTCACGTAGCTGAATTTGCGTATCTTAAATCGACTCCCCGCTGTAGTGTAGATGTACCCTTAGATAGTAGCAGAAGGGAAGGGAAGCAGGAGCCTTAGGAGTTTGGATAGGAGCAGAGAGGGCTTGACTTTCAATTTTACCATGCCTTTAACATAGGCTTTTTAGATGTAATATGTATACAGGATCTGACAGTCATAACTTTGATGCTGCTTCAGATGGCACCTATCCACCTAACAGTTTGCCTCAGTTGTCAGACTCTGCTCAGTAGCCATTCAGGAACTGAATATCAGGAATACTCCAAGTGCAGGGTCATAACAGAACTGGATAACACACTGTGCTTGAGATGGGCCTACCCAGAAGAGAGGGCAGGTTAATGTACAATGGCAAGAAATGAGCCTGCACTCTTCTGCATTCTAGCAAATGCTGTCAGTCATTCATGTTCAATCCAGGGGTTCATTCATGTTTTAATAATACACTGCACTCAATTTTAGTTATGCAGAAGTGTGCTTTCCATGTAACTCTTGCATTTATGCTCCTGTGAAAGTGACTTAATTTTTTAAGTATCAGAGGGGTAGCCATGTTAGTCTGTATCCACAAAAACAACAAGGAGTCCGGTGGCACCTTAAAGACTAACAAATTTATTTGGGCATCTGAAGAAGTGGCATTTTTACCCACCGGACTCCTTGTTGTTTTAATTTTTTAAAATATCTATTTAACTAAAACAAATTTTCTGCTATTTAAAAAAAAAATGCAATACCGAGAATTTTCTTATCTTTCAATATCACTTAACACAAGCAGTCCAGAAAAGGTTCAGATAACTGCAGAGCAGGAGGTGATACAACTTTACTCCTCTAGCTGCCCCCCGAGATAAAATCACCAACCTATGGAATGAGTAAATAACGTCAGGTCTTCACAATTACCCTGGGGGGGTCAATTTTCAGTTATAAGGTAAATTTTGAGGCCTGTTTACTAGAACTGTGACATGAAATTATTTTTTCTTCTTTCAGTTTGTTTAAAAAAAACCTGATAAGTTAGTTTATTTTGAAATGTATTTGCTTGGAAAGTTGGAGATAAAAAACAAGCAAACACAGACACTGATTTTGCATCCAGAAGGAACAAATACAGATCACATCTGACTTTCCTTACAATATGAACTGAAAGTTTTCAGCCTGATTCTGACTCATGTAAGCCAATAGCGCGGATTCCTTCAGTTACACCAGTGTAACTCGACTGACTCCAGTGGAATCATTCCTGAATTACAATAGTGTGAGAAGAGAATCAGGACCAACAGATTTACACCAGTTTAAAATCAGTATTAAGTGATAGCAGAATTAACGCTTCTCTCTCTCAAAAAAAAACAGAAAACAAAACAAGACAAGCTACACTTGTTTTTTATTTGTCAGCTGTGAATTGTTCTGCTTTGTTCCATCTCTTAGACTTTCCTTTGCGTCTGTTCCAAAATCCATGGTCATAGAGAAAAAGTGCCAGTGCAAGTTATACTTGTCATTTCTGCAAGCAACAGCTCATGAATACTACTCTTTCCTTCTTCCAAAGAAAGAGCAACTCTGGTCCTGGCCCTTTAAAATTCTACTTGTTCTGCAGAAAAGGAGAGCTGTTTCTTACAAGAATGCGTGGAAATCACCTGCAGGACAGGAACATTTTAAAGAGCCAGAGCTGTAAGACAGAGTGTGTTGCATGCATTGCTGCCCAACACCAAAGTAACACTGTGCTGTCTAGGTTATTACTTTCCATTCATTCTAAAGAATGCCACTATAGGGAGGTGGCACACAAGGACTTTGTCTCAGCCTCTGAAGATAAATAAAGTAGGGCATACAGTGAATCTGAGCTTGGTTCAGGCTAAAGTCCAGCTACAGAGTACACTGTTCCCAATGTACCTTGATAGTTTTAGGACTAAATGCTCCATGCTATGTGAGCAAAATGCTATCTGATAACTGCATTCTAAGGAGATTTGGGGTTCTTTGTTCTAAAGATAAAAAGATGGATTCGAATTTCCACCTGGTCGATTCCGGGCTCCAAAAGCCCATATTTTGTAAATATGTCATGATCCTGCTGTGGTGAAATGTAAGAGAAACCAAGCATTTTTACAAGCAGATAAAACAAACAAGCTTTAATACAAGATAGAGTGGCAATAGTAGTTCACAGACATACCATCAAAAGCTGGTCTGCATAAGCCTGATTAACGAAATAAAGAGAGTCACTGGAAACATGATTTCCAAAAAGACAAAAAGAAAGCAATTGGCATTGCCTAGCTATTGGCTTCCCTTTAATGTCTAAATCAGTGATTCTTTGAAGCTGGGAAACATTTTTATTAAAAGCAAGCCTTGCAGTCATTCTTTTGTGTGTTATAGACTAGTCTGCAGACTGTTTTCGGTCACTATCATCATTGTCAATTATTTAAAATAATGTGTATTCTTGCCAAAACCGGGGGGGAGGGGAACTGCTACTATTGCCATGATTTGAGACAAGCTGTTCTGATCTTTCATTGTTATTGAAGTTACATTAATTTAAACTCTTAAGAAAACAAATTAAATTCAAGAGGATTTCTTGCAGCTCTTTAGTTTAGTCTAGAGACACAGGATGGCTGGTCTTTGCTATTGGGACTATTGTCTTTTGGTTTTGAGATGCATGAAAAGCACTGACTACGGAAGGCATTTGCAATGGGCCAATCACCACCAAATCTAGGTATACAATTCAGAGAGATCCTGGATGAGAATGCTAAAGGACATTATTCAATATATATTAAGTTCCTATTGAAAAGAACTGGCTAGATGAAGGCTGCTTTCCCAAAACGTCAGCTGCTTACATCTTGAGTTCTGTAGATTCAGTTGCAAAGGGTCAGTCAGCAATATTTCTCGACCATTGTAAACTTCTCTTTGCTGTTCCTTTATTTTGAACAAGTTCATGAGTAACTCTGATAGGACCAAATTTGGATCCCCTATGAATGGCTCAAGAAAATGGACTTAGTCAAGGGGACTTGTACAGATTTTAGACAAAGGCGTACACCCGTGTGTGTATCCAGCAGCAAAGTGGAGGATACTCACACACCTGTTCTGCAGTGGCTGGACTATGATAGTTTATACCCTTGGGCTTCCCCTATCTATGGGAAGGATATGCTTGGCCACTGGATCTATGTAGTGTTGATCAACTGGCCATGCCTGTCCGCCTCTCAATAGCACTGGGGAGAGAGACACCATGAATAAGGCTCCGTGTTTGTCATGGAGGTCACAGATTCCGTGACTTTCCATGACCTCAGTGACTTCTGCAGAGGCCTGTGCAGCTGGCCCGGGAGCCACCTGAGCAGCTCGGGCTGCCCCTGGGCCAGTCGCACCGGCTGCTGCTTGGGCAGTCTCGGGCCCGCCCCCAGCAGCAGGAGTTGCGGTGGGGGGGGGCGACTCAGGGCTGGGGACTGGGCTGCGGGGCGGTGCTTACTTGCAGGGGGCTCTCCAGAAGGGCTACAGGAACTCCGCTCCCTCCGCTTCTAGCTCCACATGCTGCCTCCACCTGCAGGCACTGCCCCCGCAATTCCTGTTGGCCACTGGAGCTGCAGAACTGGGGCTTGGGGCGGAGCGGAACGGAGGCAGCACGTGGAGCTAGGAGCTGGAGGTTGCCGCTTCCCAGGAGCTGGGCAGGGAACCTGCCCCAGCCCCGCCACCCGAGCACCTACCGCACCCCCGGGCTGCGGAGCCCCTCCTCCCCCAGCACCTGTGGCGCCCCCAGGGCTGCCCCTCCAAGCCACCCCTCCTGTCCCCAAGTTTTAGTCAGGGGTATATAGTACAAGTCATGGACAGGTCACAGGCCGTGAATTTTTGTTTACTGCCTGTGCCCTGTCCATGACTTTTACTAAAAATACCTGTGACTAAAACATAGCCTTAACCATGAAGCACTGCTTGTAGTACACAGGTAGTACACAGTCCCTTGTATCTCTTCACAGCCCACTCTCTGCTCCCCATTCTAGGCAGGCTAACTATGGGACTACATGGCCCCACCAAGGTTGGAAGATTTCTCCCAACACAAAGAAACACAAGACAAAATGAAGAAGAGCAACAATGAGAGACAAATGGAGCGTGAAGGTGACACTATATAAAGGATGTCAGTGTGGGCAAGAAATGAAAGATGAAAGCAGGAAGCAATTAATTGAGAGAATTAGGAGAGACATTCAGAGCATGGAAAAGAAAATGAATGAAGAGAAGGTAGAAAGCAGAGAAGGGCATCCACAGAATTTGGATCCCTGTCAGGATTTCAACCACTTCAAAATGTCAGAGGTATTCAGATCTGGGATTCTGCGCTGTGCTCAATGCTAGGCCAACGGGAACAATTAGAAATGAGGCAAGATTTTAAAAAAATAAATGAATAGTTTTCCAAAAGGCGGAATATACCTTTGATTCCCACCACTTGTTGGGCGTGGTTTAATTATGCCGGCAGGAGAAAACACTTCTGCCAGCATAGAGCGGCTACAGGAGACCTTACAGCGGCGCAGCTGCCACGGTACAGCTGTGCCGCTGTAAGGTCCGTAGCGTAGACATAGCCTTGGTTTCCTCCTCCCCTCCCCCCAAGCCCGGAGAGTGACTGACAGCTTCCACACTGCAGCCCCTTTCTGCTAGGAACTTCTTGGTTTTATACCTTAGCCAGCTTCTCTCCCAACTGGACTTTATTAGCCATTAATCATTTCCAGTCATGCCAGACTCTCCACCAGGTGTGGCCTATAAGGTTAATTGGCTCCATCTGCACCACCATAATCCCTTCAGGGCTGGTGTGGGGTAAACATCTCATCACAGTTCCATTTCTAAAAGTGACTTACATACTTGGGAGACTAAGTCCCACTGAACTTAATTTCTGCTTCAGCTATGGGAGAATGTGGGGATAGATTAAAGCTCTAAACGTATCTACTGCAAAGGGAAGTGTGAGGGTTGGATGGATCATTTGTATCATCCACCAATCTTACTCACAGTAATTGAGGCTTACGGGTGTGAATAACCATCATCTGAATTCAAATACTCTTAGAGAACAATGAAAATCATAGGATCATTGAAATGTAGGGCTGGAAGGGACCTCAAGAGGTCAGCTAGTCCATCACCCTGTGCTGAGGCAGGATTAAGTATACCTAGATCATCCCTGACAGGTGTTTGTCCAACCTGTTCTTAAAAACCTCCAGTAATGGCGCGTATTGGATACCTGTGCATGTTATCACTTAAATGGGAATATTGAGGCATTTCCTTAACATAGATTTAATCTAAACAGATAGCATGGAGCTAATTTACCTTTTGGACAATAGATATCTGGAGCCCATCGGTTGCATTCATAATTGTCTGCTGCCTTTTCACAGGTGAAACATTTAAATCCACCAGGATATGGTGTGGCTGAAAAATGTAAATAAAATGCATGTAAACTGATGATCATTTAGCCAGTCTGGACCATGCTTTTTAAAGGCACCATAGTAATACTCTTTTTAAAAAATGTATTTGCTGCTTGATATGTGCACCCGAACCCTATCATAAATTGTCCTGGATTTTAAAATTCTCTAATCCAGGAAGAGCATTTATATATAAGTACAAGGGCCCAGTAAAACAGTCATTACTCAGGAAAACTGCCCATAGCTGACCTCAAGGGGAGTTTCATCTGAATAAGAGGTATGGGATTGAGTCCCATAACCGCACTTGCTCATTCTCTGTAGCACATATTATTATTTCACAGCAGTATTCAATACTGTTACTCCATCCCCGTTGTTAACAAAATGTCAGCTGGACTAAATACTTCTGAAATCTGCCTCACAGAGGAAATACACTCACGCTTTTGAATGCTGATTGATCTCCCAAATGAAAAAAATATATCAATTTGCTGAACCTCCAGCTATCAATAATCTGCTTGAGGACAAGTTATTTAGCCAAATGTGAAACAAAGATTTAAAGTGCTCTCTTGGCAAAATTTCTGCAATACATCCTAAATTAATCCAAGTAAATGGATTTTTCCAGATGTTGCCATCTCTCAGTACAATGCCCAGAAACTAGCCAGCGAACAATGGGTGAAATTTACATACAAAGCCAAGGCATTGTACGGGGCAATAAAATGTGGATAGTAGAAATTAATTTCACTCCATCTCATTTCAAGCAACCAATGCAAGATTCAGTACAACACCTCTACAGCCACTGTTCCAGTCCAAAGACTAGAGTAGTAACCATTGCACACCCTATATAGAGATGTTTGGGGCCCTTGAATCAACAACCTGTGGCCAGTCCCTGGATCTCAAATGTCCTTTGAATACCAGCCTATATGGAGTTGGTGTGCATCTCTGAATGGTTGGTCTGTCCCAAAGCCCAAAGAGCTTATATGGTTTAGAGAGCCTTGCACTAGACCCTTTGCAACATGGGTGAATTTCACCAGTTATGCCAACCTTGCAAAATTCGACTTGCCTGCTCCAGAGGGCAAGTAGCTCTTTTTAGTGGGTGAATAAAACATTATTCACTTCTTCCTTAACTCCATAATCATAGGAAGAGCAGCTGAATAGATTTTGTGCATGGACTGAAAAATGTTCATGATAGTTCTGTAAGGCTGAGCTATGCATATGTTGAAAGTAGAGTGTTTAAGAAGCAGGTTTAAGACAATCTGTATCTCACTGATTTGCAAAGGTCTAGGTAAGTGCTGTGTTAAACTTTGTTTTTATTGGACACAAAGCATTACATTGCACCTGACCAGATGTAATCTTCTGAAATTAAAAGATAAACCAATTTGTATTAGCAGAGACTGTCACAAAATATAGATTTTCTCCTCTATAGGCAAAATACAAATCTGCCTATCAAATGATTATTAATTCAATTTTGGCAAACAACCCAAATGAGAGCACAAAAGTACTCCAAACTCTTCTTTATGGCGGTCTTCAGGCCAGCATCCCAAAACATATTCATCTCATAACAAGTGTCCAGGGATTGGAGGTTTTATTTTAAACAGTAAAAAGGAAATGGCACCTCTGGATATCAAAAGGCAGGAAGGGGTCTCTGGAAATAGCTTCTAGACAACAGAGGCATGTATGGCTAGACGCATGTGTGTGAACATTGCTTCTTGTAGTAGACCATTAACTAATACTATATCTGATAAAACAGAACAAAAAGGTGAACAAAAAGGAGAGGCTGTGGAAGTTCCTGAGATGCATGGTATTTTCTTTATCTTCAAAGCGCTACTGGAGTAAAATAAAGTTTCAAACAGTTGTTGCCACAGCTGTGAGTGAATCTCATTTGGCTCTTGATCACAGAAGTGAATAAGCTCAGTAGACTGTGTTTCGGGACATAAGGCCTCAGTCCCTCAGGAAAGGGTGATTCTAAAGAAAAAACCAACCTCACAGTGCCCCGTAACTGCCTGTAACATTATCCATCCATTAACTCCCTTGGTCAGCAATGGTTCACTTTGTACCAGCTTTCTTTGGAAGACTACTGCGGAGATTTAGTCTTTGTTCAGCATACACTAAAAAAAAACCAAAGGCTACATTTCTCCAACAATGATGTTGGTTTTAGGGGTGTGCAAACACATTTTTGCCTAATTTCAAACCCACTAGAACATATGTGGGTTCAAAAGTTTGACTCACAAAGTTGAACATCATCAGATTCCATTTAGCAGAGGGGGGGGAGGGGGGAAGGTGCAGAGAGGGAGAAAGTCGGGTGAAAAAGGAACAGAGCAGGCAGAATGAAAAAAAATACAATGAGACTGAGAAACTAATGAAAAAAATACACGCAGCATCTTATATTGGTATCTAAATGAAATGCCTTAAGGACTTGGTTGTGCAGCCTTTGCTCATGTCAGTTAGCACTTAAATGAATAATCACAATGATTAAATAATTGCTCACCACAATAAGTAAGATCTGCACAACTGAGTCTTAAATTGGGCAGCCTCTAGTGCCAGTCTAGCTCCCTTCTCCCCCTAAACAGAGCTGGTTGAAATTTTTATTTAAATTGTCAATAACAGTTTTTGTTCAAAATTCAACTTTTGATTAAAAGAAACCTGAAAATGTTTGGGATTTTCAGTCACCTCTAGCTCCTAATACATAGGCTTCCCTTTAGCTAGACAGATATTGGAACAGACCTTTAGCTGGTGTAAATTGGCATAGCTCCACTGACTTCACTGAGTCTGTGCCCACTGACACTACCCGAGGATCTGGCTTATTATTTTGAATGACTCATCCTTAGGAAAAATGGATTTAAGTGATGTGGGCAGAAGGACTGCAGCCAGACTAGTGCCAGAACCCAGGAAAGAAGTTCACAAAATCTCAAGCTCTATGAGCTTCACCCCATTTCATCAATCCAAAAAAAACCAGAGGCTCAGAAATTTAACAACTTAGTGGCTGAGGAAAGTGCAGAGATAACAGCCTTTCAGCTCTAGCTGAGTGCTTCCAGTGGGGCTTGGGCACTGGTAACAGTCACTGCCACCTGACAGCTGTTCCCTGGCCTCTGTGAAATAAATTAGTGATCTAAAACCATTTCCTAGTGGACAGGTGTCCATGCCACCAAAAATGAATAAAATCCATCACAGCCAGCACTATTGTTGGCAGAGAGCTCTTAGTAGAGAACTCAAAGACTGGGGGCCTAATCCAAAGCCACTGACTCTTTCCATTGACATAATAGGTTTTAGCCCAGGCCTTGATGAAGGACGGAGTCTTCACAAGGTTGAGGTCTATAGGCAGGGCAACATTAACAGGCATCTACTGCTGCTTCCTGGGTTGTACCTGTCCTGTGATCAACAGTCGACTTCAATCCCCAGGGCTGTCAATGTGGCACCTTTCCTGAGCGCTGTAAGTTGTGTTTTTATTTCCGCGAGTCTATCACAAAGGACAAAAGTTGCCTATAAAAATGAATTGCGCTTACCTCAGCTGTCTGCCGTTTACACACATTAGTAAAAGGAAATAATTGTCCTAACAATCTGTAGAATTGAAACATAGGTGCAATGCTAGAGTGGGGAATGAGATACTCGGTAAGCATTGAGGACCGCTTCACATGATAAGCAAGTTTCCCCTTTGCCAAACCCTGGGTACTTATGGCCCAGACCTTGCAGCCTGTTGAGCACTGCTGAAATAAATCTAGAGAACCAAGAACTAGCACCTGGCACTCGCATTTATTCCACACCTAGGTAGGGAGGCTTCCACATAGTACTCATTATAATACAGAGAGATGTTCAGCAATGTAAGCAAACCTCCACTGCCATACTGAATGGAGACATGGTAAGCAGGGGATAAAATGGGTGTGGCAGGGCCAGCGAGAGTGGGAACACAACATGAGCAGTGAATGCCAATGATGTGTGTAGCAGCTGTTTTCACTACCAAGAGTAGTGAGTTATTTGAGTGTGCGAAAGAGCTGCACTTAGAGAAACTGAGAGCAGAGACAGCCAGGATGATCAGATGCTGCTAGAAAAATGTGTCCTAAGTTTACTGGAGAACAGTATCTCAAGGCCAACTGCTCAGTGCCTCATGACATGTACTAGCCAAAGTGTTTTTGCCATCCCATTAGTCTAATGCCAATCCTGGTAGTTTACTTCACTTTATTAGACTGTCAGTAACAAAATACCAGGTTCATCCATCCTGCCAGTTGTTCAGTGCTGCTGTCGCAGAGCTTTCATCTGAATCCCAGATGGATCAAGCCCTAAAAATACATTGAGCTAGGTGACCTAGAAGATCCCTGAAGATCCCTGTCTGATCAGCTTTATTACATCATTTCAATAGCACAGGTAGTTTGGCTTTTAATTGTTTGTCGTCATGTAAACTGACCAAGAAATATCCTTCTGACACAAAGTATATTGTGTGTACGCACATATAAAACATACTTCCTTTCTATTTTAATAACTTACTTTCCGTAGTGCAGAGGCTAACTTTAGAAAAAGCTACATATCCCTTAGACTACCCAGTGTTTCTGCTGTCTGAATTCAGGGTTTTTTCTCTAAGCCTTGGCACAGTGACATCCTATTTTAAGCATGTGAAATGAATCTTACTTGAAGGATGAAGGTAGATAATATCTTTCACTGTAAAGTCTCGAGGTTGAACTGCTTTCAGACAGTCAGCGATCAGGCTAAGTAGCAGAACCCAGGCCAGGGTAGGCCAGGATTCCATTGCAGAGTGGGGCCTCACTCATACGGGTTTCTTGGGAGCAAGTCCTCTTTATAATTGGAAGAAAAATGCACCTATAAAACAAAGAAGAAAAAGAAAGAAAAGTGAGACTATTACAGCTACTGTCTCAATAGCCCATCCAAGGGCCAATTCTCATCTAAGCACACAGCCCAAGTAACCAAGCTTGGCACTTGGGAGTTGTGGGGCCAGGAAAGAATTCTACTTACACCCTAAGGCTAGAGCTGCAGTAGCCCTCTTCTCCCCTGTAGTTGTGGATCTACCACCTCTGCCCCGTCCTTCCCTCCATCCCAGCCCTCTAAGCCCTTCTCTCAGCAGAGGCACAGGGACCTCCTCAGAGCTGTGCTCTGCTAGAAGCAGCTGTGGAGTTGAGTCCTGACTGCAGTGGACTGCACAACGTTTTTGCACTGCACAAAGTTTTGAACCAGGATCTGAGAATTTCAACTGCATAGATTCTAGTGGGGTCAGCAAGCGCCAAAGCAGAGATGGAGAGAGTTTTGCCCCTGAGTGAGCAGCAGGACAGCTGTCAAAGTCTCTGGCTTCTGTAACGCAACAACAAGGTGAGTTTAGATTGCTTAGTAAAATTCCATGTGACCTTTATTTTTTTAAAGAGGGGTACTATCATCCCATTAGAAGCAGTCCCCTGAAAAATCCCAGTGTGATTTATCACATCTGAGTTATAATGAGATCTAACTAGTTCTATCTTAGAGACCACTGGAAAAGTGCCAGACTCAGACAATAAGAAATCCAGTGAGGAAATTCAATACAAGATTCTTGTTAGCAGTGTGTGGTCTAAGGCACATTGGAGCAGCTTCTCTTCATACACCTGTTCTTGGGAACCAGAAAGGCTTTAGGGCTCAGTGTAAAGAGACTGACATTAAGTTGCTGTAGTCACCAGTAATATACCATCATGTACAACACAGCTCTTCCCCAAATCCTACCCTCTCACTAAAAACACAGACACAAGTCATTGCTTCTTCTCTCCCTATGGAGTCCTGTTAAGAACTAAGCATCTTTGTCACAAAAGTGGCTTCTCAGTGATTCAGAGAATTCTGCAAGACAGAATACACCATTTCTGAGGAATGCTCCCCTCAAGTGAGGGATGTTTGAGGCCTCAGGGAGGTGCAGAAGGCCTGGCCTGGAAATCTCACAGATATACTGGCGCTGTAGGAAATGCAGGGCTTAAACCCATGGATCTTACGGCATCTGCTAGGAGAGCAGGATGTTCCACATTGCTCTCTGGATCTCTCTGGCAATACAGATATGTTAAAATCTAGGATACCATTAGATCCCTCTCCCAGGCCTGCACTTTCCTCAACCATGCCCCTAGAGTGGGAAGAAGTTATGGAGGAACTGTTGATCTAAATATGCTGGGTAGACTGGCTGCTCCCCAGCTGTACTCCCCCCCCCCCCCCCCGCCTCCTACATGCTTCACCACAGATCCCAGCTGAGCAGTGCCCATGTGGAAGTATTCTGTGAGCTTCTAAGGGGGAGCAGATGGTGGGGTCACCACTCAGTACCCTTCCACTCTTTAGTTCTCATCTGGGCAGACCTTTTCTCTTTTGCTCCCCTCCACGATGCAGAAGGAAGGGGAGTATGGAACCCATAGGAGTAACTACATAACAGTATAACACAAAGCCTGTATCTAACATAAACTACAGCAATGCTAATCAGAGAGGCTGAGGGCAGCATTCAAAATAGAATCTGGATTGAGTTTGGGCTAAGGTTCAGGCTTTGGATTTAAAGCCAAATGCAAGACAGGGTTTGGATTTACTGTCACAAAGCAAGTCAGTCGTAAAGGCAATACTAGAGCTCAGAGTCTCTGGCTTTTGGTCACTCAATTATAGCATACTGGCACAACACAGAGGGAATTTAGGTGGACAGAATATTAACCAACTGAGGGTTTTTTGTTTTAGGACATCAGATTTTAACACTACCATCCTAGTGAAAAGAGCCATGGATCGTCTATTCACATGCATCCACAAGTGTCAGGATTTTGGTTTTAGGTCTAAGTTATACACACCACGTTTAGAGTGAATTGTCATGGCATTCTACTAAACACAACCCAAATACCTTTCATTTCATTTGAATGACAAAACAGTTTTAGTTGAATAGTGTCTTGGACCATTATGCCATGTGATAAGCAGTATCTCTGATAGAACACTGTACAAACAAGGCCTGGTTCTCGTCACACCCCCATTTTACTCCAGATTTATGCTAGGGTGAGTGAGAGGTTCACCAGGTTTATTTGCATGTCAAAAATTCTGCATAAAATGGACAGTGGAAGAGATTTGTCTCACCTTTTAACTCGACTGAGTTTTCCATTGCCCTATCTCCCCTAGCTACCTTTTTATGGAGGAAACAGGATGGGTGAAGCTGTGTGTTTATTCAGACTGCTGTGCAGTTCACAGCATAATGAAATAATTTGGTATTTTGATCTAATGGCATATTATCAGTAAATGCAGTGCATGTGTTAAGAGCTAGGTGATAAGGATCAATGGCTGGTCTAAACTAAGGTCCCTAAAGACTCTTTTCAGTACTGAGATTCCTTCTCCACTGCCTCATTTTTCCTGTAGTGCACATACCAGAGAATGCATGGAGCAGACTGAAATGAAGCAATATTAGATTCAAGTTTCTTCCAACTCCTAAATTTGGTTACCACGGGTTTACTGATGCTCAGATACTATAAAGTTGATTTAATATTCTTCTCTGGGGCATTCTGAGGCCTTACTTCTGTTCTATAGTAATAAGTATATCTGTATTGCACATTACATTTAAAAGCACACAATACAGATTAGCTCCCCTTTTGGGGGGTCCCTAAAGGAAGGAAAGTAATTTCTGCAGCCCCATGAGCACTTGTTTCTGCTAGTTAGAAGGTTGTCCAAATGCAGTAGTACTCTACATTTGAAGCATGGATTTAAATAGGCCAAACATTTTGCTTTAAGTTGTTTCCTTGCTCAGTACCCAACACTCCAGAAAAATTCAAGATCTCTAGCTAGACAGTGTTTATTACCATTCATTATAAACCTAATGCTAGTGAAGAGGGAAAACTTGTACTTTAACATTCAAAGGGACAAAGGAAACCTCTGTTTTAGTTTCACTTTGCTTGATATGTTTCCCTTACATAGAGTCTCAAAATAAAATGTGAAGGAGGAAGAGGAGACTCTCTTAAATAAAGTCATGAGCTTACGGTTAGTTTCACAATTCTCTGCAATCTGATTGGCTTGAAGAGGAAGGGTGGGAATCTGGGTTGTACAGTAACTGTGTGGTAATTTCTCTTAGTGAAGGAAAGAGAACCTTCCTCAAAAAGCAAAGCAGAGGAGGGAAAATATTAAGAAGATAGGACTGGTTGGGTGAGGAGGGGGCAGAAACTGAGGCAGCCATGTTTGCTGTGGGCATACAGATGGACCAGTCCAAGGCCTAGAATGGCAAATCAGAGATTAGGATGAGAGGGCCAAGAGCAGCACATTGCAATATAACCACTTTTAACTTATCAATAACCATATTCTGTGCTAACAAGTCCTCAGCCATTGGTTCCCAAGTTTATGAGCAACCCAGATACTGTAATAAACTAATTAACAGGAAGCACCCCCAATTTACCATTTAAATAAACTGTTCAGATGGTTCACACAGACTGCTTTCTTTAAAAGGAGAAAGAAAAATTGATCCAAATTCCTATATGAAAACCCTTTAAAAATATGTATTGCTCAAAAAGGTACACTTATACACTCTATACTGAATACAGTTATTTCCCCCAAGCAATTTACACATTTTGATAAAGATTATGATTTTATATTAATCAAACATCCTTGTTTGCAGTTAGAATGTTCCAGAGATGACTGGAA